CCCTTCCCCTTACCCCTCCAACCAAAAGAGAATCGAGACACCTCTACCCCTTCACGTGAACGCGCAAAACAGAGGGGTAGGGGAAAGGGGAAGGGCTAAGGGGTAGAAATGGGATTGGGCCTTAGTATCTCCTTCGATTCGCGCTGCCCTCTGCTAAATACTGAACCGAGTGGGTGGCTTTCAATCTTTTAAGCCTCTCTGCAGATAGTCTGTGAGAGGCCGTTAGGAAAAAAACTCTCTTTATATAAAAAAAAAACAAGAGGAATGGAGAGAAAGTTGGAAGCAAAGAGGACGTCTTTGAGGTGAGCAATGTCGACAGCCTGCCCACATTCGACAGTCACTCTAATGACAAAAACATATTCCACAGACAATCCGCAATGAAGATGCAGTCCACTGAAGTACTGAGGAAGTAAACAAGAAAAAACTCGAACCAACAGAATGAAATAGATTTCTTGAAACAGAATTTTGGTTGTCGTCGCCGATAAGGATCACAGAACGATTGGTGTTCGAAGCGGAGGCGGTGGCAACCTCGGAAACCCCAGCGGAGATCTAGTCCAGCCTGAGATGTTATGATCACAAGGAACATTGATTTTTCTGATCCTCAGAGGTCTGACCCATGTTCCCTGTATTCTAACATGTGCAGACACATGGCAATTGTCCATCTTGCCTCAGTCTCTCACAAATAGCTGTTCAGTATAGCTGACTGGTGCTTTTTATTGGTTTTTCTGATGGACGTGGCAGAGATGCCATAAATAACTTCATCCAGTTGTTCATTTTCTTGGTCATGGTTGCCATGCCGGCAGAGAGTCTGAGATTTCTTCATTTTGATTTGAATCAGAAGAGCCACTTAACTCTACTGATTGTTTTCTCTTATAAGTGATTTTGGAAAGCATTCTCTGCAAATCCATGTCAGGCTGGAAGCTAAATTCTTTTGTTATTGAAAACATCATTCTGTACTCTGGGTGTGACCTTGCAGTGGCTTTCTATATTCCATTAAGCTGAAGAAACATTAGTGCCTCTTTTAAAGATACAGCTTGACCTTATTAGTATTGATTAACCAAGTTTTTAAGTCCAGATTCAAGGTAATTACTGTAGCATAAGTCAAGGCCGTAACCATGTCTTGAACACTTTATATTAGTTTTATAAAGTATAAAGAAATAGTAAGAAATTCTAGGTCTAATTCTAGTTGGGAAGTAATCATTTTGAACTATTTGCAAATCATTTAAAAATATGCACACATTCACTCTTATTTGTATGCCTAAGTCGAAAAAGCTAAACATTTCTTGTCTCATTACATCCAGTTAAAAATTGCATGAATCCTATAAATTATACCAAATTTTCAATTCAAAACAGCAAAATTTGAGGATAAAAAGAAAATAGTTTGCATCACTGGATGTTACCGTTGGTTGTCAAATAGTAAATATTTTGCTACTTCACTCTTTAAAATGGTGTTTAAAGCTGAAAAAACACGCTCTGCTTCTCTGAACCGCCAACCCCGTGTACTTTGTCCAATAAGTAGGCTTCATTCCCTCAGATGGCAAGAACTGGCTGAAATGAACAGATCTTATTGGCTGGTTTCTAGGATTGGGACACAAATACTGTACATTCTTGTGTCGTCCAATACGTAATGAGTGAATCTTATGAGCTGGTTCTTTAGTGAATCAAAAATATACAGTGTGACCAATATAGCCTAACTCCTGAACAAACGACTCTTATGAATGGTTATTCTTAGTGAATCAATCAGCTTACAACTTAATGTTAGCTATGTTGTACTTATCCTGTGAAACTACAGTTTGACAAAACAGCTCAAACCCGCTTGTAAGGAAGTTAAAATAGCATGGTTGCATCAACAAATTCATTTTTATATCACTTTTGAATTTAATATCGGGTAGGTTTTTGTGTTGGGTTTGGTGTAGGGGGTATTTGCAGTACGAGCGACACTCCTGGACATTTGATTTCTGAACTGCCGCAATACGTACCTGAAGCAACGTAATAAAATCTCCACTCATTGGATTCAATTCAATGTTTCACTTTGAAACTGCCTTGAAACGTACAGCAAGTTATGTAATATCGGTCTTGCAGAAAATTCGCCACAAGTACGTATTCCAATGAGCCTGGATTGTAAAAAGTTTTTATTGCAGTATTACCAACCTAATCTCATGACGAAAACGTACCTGTGGGAACTTTTTCGCAAAACGAGAAATACGTACCAATAAGTACATATCACGGCAGTTTCCAACAGAAATAAACACTAGAGGTGGTAAAACAGCGAACACTGGTAATCATTTTCGTACACAGTTATGATTACAGCTCCATATGTTTTGCTTTCCGGAAATGACAAGCTTGCTCGGTAGGTCAGCCGGCACGGAATTGGACTTAGGATGCAGAATCCTTGGGTATGAATACCGTGAAAAGCATGACTCACAATGAAAGAGCTGAAAGATGAGAGATCAAAAACAAGCTAAAGCGGCATGCTTGCGATTGCGTTTTTATGTCACATTCGCTTTTGTTCATACTATTGGGTAGGTTTAGGTGTAGTGCAGATGGTACATTATTTTAAAACGTCACGGAGCATTAGAATTATAGCGCCATTCAGCAGACTTTTCAAGTCAGAACCGGGTGACACATACAAAACCAGCGTCACATAAAATGTACCATATGTATGTTCATCTTTTCCAGGGAAAAAAAACTAAACACTCTTTTAGCACCAATCAGTGGACATTTCACATCGAATATGTCACAAAACATACATGGCGCTATGCATTTTGCGTCTTTCAAAAAAATTCCCACTGGTACGTTTTCGTAATGAGATCAGGCTCAGTATTACAGTACAACAGTGATAATCCAACACTGAGCACGTTTACATGCACACCAGTAAGCTGATAACTCACAAATATCAGCTTATTAAAATAACCAGTTTTCCCCATTTACATGCACATCAGTAACCTGACAACGCAAGTAAGCTGCGATTTACATGACTTTATTAAT